TACTACTACTCTTACTCTTACTCTTACTCTTACTCTTACTCTTACTCCTACTACTACTACTACTACTACTACTACTACTACTACTACTACCGGCCAAACCTGTCCTCCACTTGAACGGACCCCCGAAAACGGTCCCGAAAACGGTCGTCCTCAATCCAAAGCTCAAAGTTCTTCTCGGACAGCAACACGCGTGGGAGCTCCTGTGAGCCGAAGACACGAGGCGCTCCTGTCTCTCACAGCCTTTGTGTAATCGCTACCTCCGGATTTGGTTCGACTTACAAAAAGGGCGCTAGCTTTAAGATCTTTAAGTCTTTTTTTGTGGTCTCCACTGGGGGGTGAAACGAGGATATCCAATGCTTTTGAACACGATCGAAGTCACAGAAATTGGACCAGGGTGCCTTCTTATCAATGGAGTCAACATATGTCAACATGTCCCCTTGTCCGGAAAATCCCATCAAACAAACAATTAATCAAGATGTAATCAAGATCAATTAATTCTACAACTCGCCTCACTATAAGACTTTGTGGTCATCTCGCCTGATCTGCTTAGGGCCTAGGGGATCTAGCAATCTAGCCCTGCCTTTTTCCAACCGAATTCATGCCACTGCAACAGATTCTCAGACCTTCCATAGGTTCCCTGCTTCATTGGCGCATCGATGTCGCATCATTTTCGGCTGCTTTTCAGGCCGCTGAACACGTCCGGCCCCACAGCCTGGAAGCGTGGAGATGATCAAACGTCAAGAGATGGACGTGGTGACGTACTCCAGGAGCGTTGGAGTGCCGAACAAACGGAGGATAGGAAGGGATAGGGGTGCCCCTGTCACCACTGTCCACCCCTGCATGGGACTAAAACCACCTCATCTTGTCACTCCAGTGCTGAAGGAAACATGTCGGGGTATACCTCTTATGTAATAATTAACAGTGTAAACTTAAGAGATCACAGATCACCAAATGTCCGGGTTTTCACACGAAACATGATCCCATGATATCCCACAGGGGGGGCTTTCCCCATCGAACACGTCATTTTTCGCGGACGAAGCGTTTGTTCCTCGCCGATCGCCTGCCGCGCGGACTTCACTCGTCGGCATCAGCTGGAAAGTCCATCTGCGCCAGGACGAAGGAAAGCACACGGTCAAGGTGGAAGAAATCCAGGGTTTAAGGGCTTCATCGTGGTTTGTTTCAAAATTCAGGTGATATAGGCTGACATAGGCCTTAGGTGTTCGCTGCCAATATAATCAATATAAATATATAGAGCGCTTTCCTTTGGCTCCCCACCAATGGACCACGACACACAATCTCTCTTCAACCATCTTCAACCACTAAGCACCACCCTCAGGTTCAGAAACACTTCGGAGATCTTCAGAGAGAGGGGCCTTCAATGATCCAATGCTGCACATTGCCGCACTGGGAATATACCGCACTCAAATATCCCACTCAGCGGCCTCAGTGTTCCAAGGCCACAGGCCTCATTCTGGCCACATGCAGGTGACGACACCAACCTCGATCATCTCCTTGAGAGATGTCATCTCATCCCACCCAATGAGTACATCTCATATGAGATATCATGAGTATATACATCTTCCACTCAATGAGACGTCTTCCACTCAGTGAGATGCAGCTCTCATCGGCTCAAACTCGTCTTCCACAAGCCTCCACTCGTCTCCACTGCATACGCATTGCTGCACACTGCTCAAGCGCCGCCACTGTGCATCAGTGTTCGGGAGCTTTGACTGAGTCGTCTATATGGACAGCCTTCTCCTAACTCAACGCGCTTTAATCCTCGTGGCGCTGCCCCTTCTCGTCCAAACATCTCCTGGCCATGCGTGGAAACAGGTCGCGTGGCCACCGAGGGGCCGCAAATGACCGCAACCGTCCAACCGGGTGGCACGGACGACGGCCGAAGCAAAAGACCCCATCTTTGGGGAAGAAGTCACCATCACAAAAAGGTGAAAATGGTGTTCCAGCGATTTTCAGTGAGGTGAACATCTTGGAGTCAACCCTACCCATTTTGATCCACTTTGATCCACTTGAGGCCGTGGGTTGAGCACTCCTTCGAACCCTCGGCACGTTCGTGACTCGCCCACCTCCTCATCGAAGGCCACGTCCTGACAGCAACCCATTCGGCGCCGGGTGCAGCGGGGCGTCATCGAAGGGTGTTCCACCGCCGCCGTTCCACGACATTTTGGGGGGAATCATTGTTCGGCGACGAAGAGCAAATGCACGGCTGAAAGGGTTCATGACTTTGGAAGCGGAGAAGGGTTTTAGGGTTCAGTATGGTTCAGTCATCGAAATTTGCAGAAAGCTGCGCCGTGTTTTTGGCGTCTTTGTTGGGGTCCAACAAAGTGGAACTTGGATGAGAAGTTGCCGGCCCACTACGTCACTAGTCCCTGCATGACCTTGCAGGGAGTTGAAGAGGGAGAAACCGATGGATCTCATGGACGCTTTGCGGGCTTTGGCACATGTTTTAGGTCCCAACACATGGGCCAAAACCCTGGCGAACTGAGGGTGTAACAAGTCTTGAAACAAAAGCGAGTCAAATCCGTCTTTAAATCAGGATTGGTTTGAGAGAACATCTACAAGTTTCCCATAGGTTGTCAGTTTTCACACCTCAAAGCCTACGGGTTTCCTGCAGACTGTCGTTCTACATTCTCTCTGCTGCGGCGCTTTCAGAAGAGCCCACCTCCGCTCGCACGTCGGAGACGGCCGAGAAGACCGCAGAGGGTGCCGGCGCGGCGGGCCCCTGGCGGCGGGGCCAGACCAAAAAACCAGGGGACTTGGAGGCACCCGAAGTGAAGAGACATTCGAACATAGAAGCTTCATATGTGTTTTGCCAGTTTGTTCATGCTTTTTCCCTAGTATATCTGTTCTACCATGTACGTTCTGTCCAGCCTTCTAGAAGCGATCTGTTTCTCTGAAATTTTGGGGCTCAATGCCTCACTCTATACATCTCTATACACTCTTGTTCATTACTACGGTGCACAAAAAGGGCAAGCTACGTGGATCCAGAGCCCCAAAGCCGGCCCGGAGCAGTTTTTGTGTAACTCCAAAGCATGAGCTCCTCAAAGACCCAAGGCCTGACGACCTGGAAGTTGTTTTCAGCTTCCACCCAAGGTGAAGGTCATCTGTTGCTTAAAAGGGGGCCTCCCGGGCTCCATTCGGTGTCCATTCTCTTTCTGTAGCCACACAATTGGATATATAAAGCATCAAAGAAAGCTCCTCAATTGTGGGGTTGGACGTCTGTGTGTATTGCCAGCAAACACGGAAGGCAGGCATACATGAAGACAAGATGGGAAATGCTTTTGGTTGCCACTTAAGCTTAAACCAAAGATTAAAAGATCCATCAGTATCCATCAGGTTTAATTGTACACTCCGACTTTGTAAGATAGAAGTGGAAAGCAGCCCAGAGGCCCATTCTGGGCCCATTTTCCACTTCCATGTTGAGTCAGAGTGTACTTTGATTTGTAGAGGCCTCGCTTCTCCTCCCGGCTCCCGGCCTCACCGTCTTGTGGCGTGTAGCTGGGCGATTCAGCACCAAAAAGGGCTGAGGCGGGAAAAGATGCCAGGAGGGACCAGGTGAGGTCGGTCGAAGATCTGAGGTGAGATTGTTTGGGGGGAACGAACACCTATACATATTGGTGGTTGATAAGAAAGAATCTAAGATCAAAGAAGCGTTATTCACCGTTACAATCAATTCATCTTGGAGTACCTTAAAAGAGTAATATACTACCGTATACTACCGTCACATTTCCCCTAATGTCTTTGTTGTGGCAGCTCGGATAGCTTTGGTTTTGTTGCAAAACGAGTATCTCAGAAATCAGAAATTCAACCTCTTGTTTGGTGTCTTTACTTACAGCACAGGTGGGCCTATCAAATGAACACATCATGCGTTCACAGCTTTGCTTTGGAACATCCGTTTCCTGGGTTTGTGGTGAAAAAAACAGAAGGGCCATCCAGCTAGACCCTCCAGAACGTTGGTTTATCTCTGGGAGTGGCGAATACACTTCCACTTAGAGCGGAAAGGAAAGTTGTGAACTCTCAGATACAACTGTGGCTGTTGATTGATACGGGCCTGAAGCCTTTACATTTGAGAAGGCATTGACACCAGAAACTCCCTAAAACGCTTGCAAGGTTCGATGTGCTTCGACAGGACCAACAAGCCGCGGTAGATTGGAGGAACATTAGACAGGGGTCAGTTTGATACCAAATATACCTATATATTGCTTGTACAAAGACTGGGTATCCCCTCTAAATACATCAACCACCAAGGTCATGCTGAAGACATCTGAAGACCATTGTACGACACATTACGACCCATTACGACCCATTACGACCCATTGGTCTTGCTGCCTCCGGTGGCGGTTCAGAAAAGCTGCCGTGTTTCGGTGAAGGACGAGGCTTGAAACAAGTCGAACGACTGGCACCAGCAGAGATTTCCCTTGCAAATTGAAGCAGGCTCCAGCTTACTGTCATGGAAGTGAAGTTAGGAAACATGTCACCAAATTACATGGAGCGTCTGGCTCATGTATGTCTTGTTTGGCCAGTTCCCCATCTCCACTGGCCAGTTCGGCCTATGTCTGGCCCAGCATGCTCCTGGAAGCAAACCGCCGCACAGCACCCCGCGGGATTCATTCCCCAACCCAAGCACTTCATAGGATTCCATACGTTGGGCCTGTGGGCTCATCTTGCACTTGTGGCCAGCGTAGGATGGATTTTATCCATATTGAATCATATTGAGGATTCCACAAGTGAAGGGTCGAAATGTATGTATAAAAATATGTCACATGTATTTGCAATCCATCATGAGGATCCGTGAATATATTGCATACATGGAGTGTCTGGGTCAACAGCAAGAACATCTCATCCGTAGCATCTGGATCCGTACGACTCATTCTGTTGTTCAACACCAAGGGGCACGAGGGGATCGTAGAGTGCCCACCCCATGTCCCGGCGTCCTGGATGATGGGGCTTGCGCCCTCTTCACTCATCCCGCTGGGAGCCAGGCTTGCCTTGGACAGTGAACGATCGAGTGGTAGTCATTCACAAACAACACGACCAAGAAAGGGAGATGGACATCTCTGGCGACCCAGGGTCCGAATGGTCAGGGTCTGCTCCCCTTCCTCTTTCCGAACCGGCCAGGTGGGGTCAACCCAAACCATAGATTTTGTCGATTTTGTCCAAACCTCAATGTGTTGTGGGATGGTGGAGCTAGAAGAGTTATATACTAGCTAGTGTACTGATGTGTACTGTAGATGTATTGGATGTTTTCTTGGGGAATGTTGGGGATCACACAGGGATACTGATGGTCTGACACTCTCTCAGTGCCCACTCCTTGGTTCCATTTATGAAGTCAAGGATGTGACGTGAAACAACGGGACCGGACTTTTGAAGTGGCTCAGGACTGCAGCTTGGATGTCATTATGTAACCTAAGGCTGCATGCAGCTGCAGCTGCAGGTCTTGCCAGGTCTGCCCAGCAAAGCCGATCCATGGAACTTCTGATCTGAAAACATCCTAAGATTCATTAAGATTCCCTAAGCTGATGTATGTAATCCCGGGAATTCCATGTAGGTATCCGTATACTTCTATCTGAATCCACTGGTTCATATAGCTTCACGACAGATGCCCACCGGTTGATCCGAGTGCCCAAGCAGGCGCGATCGAGGGCGAGTAGCCTCCTCGGAGCTACACACACGACGAGTCCCGTTTCAACCCGCCGTTTCAACGAAAGACCGGTTTGTCCCTCCAGTCTCAGTGGTCTCGTGAATCTGGAATTTCCAGTCGGCTCCAAAACAAAAAGGCCAGGTGCATGTGGAAACATCGGTCCATGATGGTCCAGATGGATTTATATACCCAGGTTCATTGGTCCATGGCAAGTCCATGAGAATTCCTTTTGTCTCTACAAACCATGCACCTGATGAAGGGTGTTTGGTGGACAGGGAGCCCTTTGTGTGTGATCAGGGAGCCCTGCAGACCTGCACCGAAGCATCGTGCTATTTGTGGATCAGCATGGATCTGGTATCCTGCTATTAGGTTTATTGGCTAGCTGACGTCGCATCGGACAATTACCCGGTCTCTGCTTCTCTTGCAAACCATCCCAAAAACCCAAGACCTGACACTGTCCTTCCTCCCCTTCATCCAGCCTACAGCTTTGCAATCCTAAAAACACATCAGCTCCAAATGATTGGCTTTTCGAAGCCCTGACTCATCGCCTTCTTTCGCACTTCATGAGACTCTCCAAAGGACCACGGTTCCGGCCACCGGTTCCGAGGACCAGCGGTTCCGGGTCCACGGTGTGGTTCGGAGAAAGGCTCGGTGAGGTGCAAAAGCGAGGTGAGGTGACCGGCCACGGCATCTTGGAGGGAGAGAGCAAATCTATCAGCACTTCTCAGAACAAAGGGGTCAAGACACGTCTATCAAGCAGTCTGCATGCCTTGCGATCTTGTCTAAAGAAAAATGCCTACTATCATCTACTATCAAACTGGTCTCACTCAATGTAAACCTTCAACATTCAGAATCATATCGGCAGCAAAGCATGCTTTCTGGTCTCTTCCCCTCCTTGCCGCCCCCACCGTCTCCTGGGCCGGGTGTGGCGCCAAACCTGGATTAGCCCGGAGCATCCGACTGCTCCGCCCCGGGTGAAGCGAAAACAGGCCCCGGAGCATGGGTCGCGACAGGGTGGGTGGGTGATTGGTTTCAGAGGTTCGATATATGGTTCAATGATGTTCAATGGAATAAAGGAAGAACCTGACCCTATATCGAACTTATTGGTTTAGAGATATCGAACATAAGGTGATATTTATTGGTTTAGAGATGATTCCCCCCTCATATATGGTTCTTGGGAGGTCGTTTGAGAGAAGGGAATAAGCATCTCTAAAGCCACTGACATTGGGGATCGTGCCATCTACATCATCTACTGTCAATCCACTCCAGGAAGTTTCGGGACATGTTTCTGTTTGGGATGACTTGGGAGTACATTTCAACAGGATCTAAGCACCACTTGATGAATCTTCTTGGCTCGACCTCTTGTGACAACCCAAGAAGTTGAAGAACAAATTAACAAGAAGTGTCCAAATACTGTAATGAACATGGTTCTTTAGATGGCTTGGGGTGGTTGCTTGAGGACATCTCCTCCAAAAGACCCCGAAACGTGGCTTCTGCTCAGCAACCGAGCAGGCAAGAACACGACCGTCCATTAACCCCTGGACCGTCCATTGAGCCCCTCCGTGTTGCTGGAAAATACAGGTTAACCAGTTGAGCAGACGTGCAACCTGTTGGACCTGAGTCGGGAAGCAGCCAATTCCCCAACAAACATGTTAAAGGGTTCTCCACTGACTGGGTAGGGTGGTCAACTGCCCACTGAGCTGGCTGTTGAAATGTGTTGAACATAGAAACAAACACTCTTGCTCTACATGGGATAGTGGTTTTTGGAGGAGCACAGCACCGTTTCCCACAAAGACGACCCGCACCTCGACGTGGGCGTGCCTGCACCGTACCTGGTGAGTGCGGCCCATCAAAAAGAACAACACCATGGAAAGCATCTGGGTGTAGGACGAAATATGACAAATTAAATATTCGAGAGGCAGGTATACGCGGTATACCCCCTCATAAATACAATATCTAGAGGCAGCAATATGTTCAACTATTCTAAATGCAAAGGTCCGAGTCTTCTTCTCTCTTCTGACTCAGAACTGCCTTCTTTGGCATACAGTGGCCATACGTACAAGTCCGCGCGAGTCATACCCGATTTCTCTAGTCATCCTGGGGGTCTTTCTGTCAAAACGTCGTTCTAAGCAGAACGAGTTCGGAGGAGGTTCCCGATGACATGACGGGTGTTCGTTCCCAGCTCCACTTCCATGACCGGCGCTCGAATGTATCTTCGGTCACGGCGCGCAAGCGATTGAATTGATCCACTTTCACTGCAGGGGTAGGACTTTCAAAGCAGTGGATCCAAAAGACCAAAAGACACATCCATCCTGTGGCATACACCATAGTATCGCAGCGGTACTCCTGTCTGTCCACTGTCAGTGGCAACCCTGTCTGTCCCACGTCTTTGTTTGACCCAAGTACCAGGCCCACAGTCCGACCCCAGTCCGACCCAGCGAAACCGGGGTCCTTTGCTTCATTGATTAGTGTTTCGTGTATGATCAACTCCAGGAACATGAGGTCCAAGTGACCTGTAGAGAGATGTAGGGAGAGGTGTTTCTTTGTTCCATCCGCCCTTCGACGCCGGGCACTGGCTGCTCATCGGCGTGTAGCCCGGGCCTCCGTCGGTCCGTCGTGTGGTCCGGGATCCGGCGGTCCCGCAAGCGGCCAAAACGTCTCGTGCTTTTTCAATGGAAACGCTCAAATGATGGCATCTTAGATACCAAACTTACTGTCTTTTCTGTGGGCAGCCCAATATTGGGAGAGGTCAGTGGCAGCTCTCAGCTTGGCTCAGGCCTATTGTGAGCCAAGAAAAGGATAATGTTGGATCCTAAATTAATGGTCACAGGGGAGGGAATAGTGACACATGTTTTCATGTAACATTGCAAATCATTGTGGTTCTCATTTTTTCCCCCAGCGTGTGTTACTTCAATCATGATTAATCACGTGTGTGTGTCTATTGCTTTACTTGTGTCTTGTCCTCCTACCACCGCCGCTGCCGCCGCAACCACCACCACCACCAGCAGCACCACCACCTTCACCTTGGCTCTCTTCACTCTCCTTCAGTTGTTTGCTAGGAGGGGATGGTTCATTATATATTCAAGGTCGAACATGACCTCTGTTAGCCATTCATGGAAATAGAGCACGGGACTAATGTGGGAATTTTATACGATTGTTTCTGACAAACAACCTGCAGGAGCACATTGGGTCCCAAACTTGAAAAGCGTAACTGCTGAGCTAGGAACTCCTACACACCTTGCACAAAGACCGTTTCTGAGCGGCGAGATGCTTCATCGGGGCTGGTGCATGACTTCCAACACCTTGCAAACTCCAGATTCCCTTATACTAAATCAGTTGGGGGGGGTTAGGTGCAGCATGGTGCAGCCATCATCTGTGAAAAGTCCATGTACACTGAAAGCTGAAGTTCACAACCCGAGGCCCTAGGGACATCTACCTCAGGTACTCACCCTGCTGGGTAGCACCCTCCCACGGGCCACCGGGCTCTTGTGCGAGAAGGGACTGGCGGCGTCAATTTTGAAAGGACAGAGTTTTCGGACCTCTTGGATGTAGAGCAAGAAGCTACTAGTACATTCTGACATTACTACTAGGAGCAAGAAGCTACTAATAGTAACAAAGGGCATCGCTACTACGAACAAGAAGCTACTAGTAACAAAGGGCATCGCTACTACGAACAAGAAGCTACTAGTACATTCTGACATTACTACTAGGAGCAACAAGCTACTAGTAACAAAGGGCATCGCTACTAAAAAAAAGAAGCTACTAGTAGCTCCTGGCATTACTACTAGGAGCAAGAAGCT